ATTTGGGGCCAGGTGGAATTGCGTTGCCCTTGATTTTGGAGCTGAGGCTATGGCTATCTGAATGACCTGTATCTCTATGTCCACGAGGCCGAGGAATGTCTTGGACGGAATAAGTGGATTTGGATAGCCAAACTTCTTCAAGCCTTGTGTGGCAATTGATGTCTGGCAGAGTGACATTATGTAGACATGTTAAATGTTTTGTTGCGCCAAAGCATCCAACAAGCTGGCGCACATTTGGTGATGTTCATGTTTGAACAGAACAGGAAACCCTAGTCGGGGCAGCCACCAAACCAGTTGGTCGGCCGTCAAGCAACGGTTTTCTCCTTGTTTGGGCATTGTGCATGGCCATGGCTGTTGCAGAGAAGCTTCTTGCGACTTCCAATCTCATGACTGCAGGCGAATCAGTGGCAGAAGATAAATGCCTCTGGCGATGCGCCCAGCCCCCGCTATAGGCACACCATGGCCTGGAGCAGCGCTGCGGGAGGTCTGTATGTGTTTGGAGGGTCTGACAGCAGCGGCGTGTCTGCAAAGTTCAAGTTCAATCAGGATGCTAATTTGGGGTCAGGTGGAATTGCGTTGCCATTGATTTTGGAGCTGAGGCTATAACTATCTAAATGACCTGTATCTCTATGTCCATGAGGCCGAGGAAAGCCAGGATGAAAGAAAAGGTTTTCTTGATTGCGAAACTCTTTCAAAGTTTGTGTGGCGATTGATGGCTAGCAGAGTCAGAGTGGCATTATGTGCATAAGCTGCACGGTTTGTTGCGATACAACATCCAAAGTATTGCCCAACCTTGGTTTCATATTGATTCTGAACAGAGAAAGCACCAGTTTGTCAGGGCAGTCACTGAACTTGTTGTTCGGGCCGAAAAGCAACAGTTTCTTTCTGGTTAGAACATTGCGCTTGCATCTGTTGCAGAGAAGCTTCTTGCGACTTCTAATCTCATGACTGCAGGCGAATCAGTGGCAGAAGATAAATGCCACTGGCGATGCGCCCAGCCCTCGAAAAGGGCATGCCATGGCCTGGAGCAGCACTGTGGGAGGTCTGTATGTGTTTGGAGGGCTTGACAGCAGCGGCGTGGCTGCAAAGTGCAAGTCCAATCAGGATGCTAATTTGCCAGGTGGAATTGCGTTGCCATTGATTTTAGAGCTGAGGCTATGACTATCAAAATGACCTGTATCTCTATGTCCATGAGGCCGAGGAAAGCCAGGATGCAAGATGGGGATTCGGGCGAAACTTTTTCAGAGTTTGTGTGGCGATTGATGGCTGGCAGAGTCAGAGTGACATTATGTCGATAAGCTGCACGGTTCAGTGAAACAGAAAAGGACAACTTGGTCGGGGCAGCCAGGGAACCAGTTGTTTAGGCCGATGAGCAATAGGTTCTTTTAGGTTTGGGCGTTGCGCACGGCTACATGACATCCAGCAATGTTCACAGCAATAAAAACCTTGTCAGCACCCACTGAACCAGTTGTTCGGGCCGTTACGCAACAGTTTCTTCTTTCTTTGGGCATTGTGTGGAAGCTTCTGGCGACTTCCAATCTCATGACTGCAGGCGAATCAGTGGCAGAAGATCAATGCCTCTGGCGATGTGCCCAGCCCCCTCTATGGGCACACCATGGCCTGGAGCAGCGCTGCGGGAGGTCTGTATGTGTTTGGACGGCTTGACAGCGGCGGCGTGGCTGCAAAGTGCAAGTGCAATCAGGATGCAAATGTATTGCATCGCAATTTTTATTGGGAACTGAGGAGGCTACCTGAAGGACCCTAATGACCTCCATCTCTATGTCCATGAGGCCGAAGGGAGGTCCAGTTGGGGAAGTTGATCCAAAAGAGCAGTGTCAAAACCTGGAAGTGACAAACTGTGCGATATGTTGTGGAGTGATGGCTGGCACAGAACTCACATGTGATGACTTTCTGATTTGTTCCTCTCTTTGGTCTGTCAAATGTTCTACGATACGAGCCGAAGGTTGGAGCTAGCCGAGTGATGTGGCAATCCTTTTAGGGACCTCAGTGATGAGTTATATAGCTGTTGGGTGAGCTGAGTGCTGAGCTAGCCTAGTGGTGATTGGAGCTGGAGCTACTTAGACCAATATCCATAGTAGAACCCCTAAAAGGTGATATCTTCCGATGTGTCGATGTTTGTTTCGTTTTACGGAGCAGTTCCTGGACGTTCTCGCCTCGTTACGCAGTGCGTGTCATTCCATTGCGAGTTGTGACCTTGAGTCCCTTCAAGTATCTTTTTACTCCAGCGACGCAATCTGCTACTGTGCCAGGCATCTAGTTACTAAATATATAGATCTATATAGATTGTTGACGCGGTTCTGGAGCCTTCGGCAGTTTTGTCAACCAAGCGGGTCTGTGGTGTTTTGGCTGGCTCCGCATCCCCGCAGGAGAACGAGTGGCGCCGTCCGACATTTTGCAACTGCGCCAAGCCCAGTGCCGCCTATGGGCACGCCATGGCCTGGAGCAGCGCTGCAGGAGGTCTGTATGTCTTTGGAGGGCTTGGCAGCGGCGGCGGGGCTGCAAAGTGCAAGTCCAATCAGGATGCTAATTTGGGGCCAGGTGGAATTGCTTTGCCATTGAATTTTGGAGCTGAGGCGAGTATCTGAGTGAGCTGCATCTCTATGTTCATGAGGCTGAGGGGAAACACCGGTAAGAAGGGGAAGTGTTTCGTGGCCAGTATGGTGATTCATGAAGGGCCACTTGTTTGACCTGTGCCCTGACAAGTTAGAGAGTGTTTTTGGCCGCTTTCTTTCTAATTGGCTTTCTGGGTGATTTCAGATTGTGTCGCGTGTAAAACTGCAGACAGAGTGGTGAAACATATTCATACTGGGAGCTATATATATATATTATCAAGACAAATACTGGAAGTGGTCACTTGCTAAGTTCTAGGAACCAAATGAATAGAAGCGTAAGCTATCCTGCGTTCAGTAGCTAAGAGTGTATCAAGTCCCTTACTTAAATCAGTAAGGAGGCAGGGCAGGCCACCGGCTATTAAAACTGTGGATGGTAAATAGGTCCACTCCACCCGTTCATTTCTTTTCGAAGAGCGCACAAATCAAGAAGTGTACCATGAACTTGATCTTTGGCTCAAGAAAACAGGTCCGACGCACTGGACTGCTTTGTCATAACCACAGGTTATGAGCCCAAGGGTTGTTTTTTGGTTGGGGTGAAGTCCAGCTGGTCGTGGGTGAGCGGCGTGGTGTTGGTCCGAGCAACGGCGCCGGCGGATGCGATCGCAGGAAGCTCGTGACCAACAAGGAGAACTGGAGATTGGAGTGGCTGACAGGAGGCTGAACCAGCTGCTAGCCGAGTATCGAAGGTCTCAGGCCTCTTCGGCACCAACGACCGCGGATCCAGGAGTTCGACGGGTACGTGTGGATCAACAAGGAGACGTCGACTACCAGGAGGAGATCAGGGCTCAGGCATGGACCAGCGTCCCTTGCTGACTGGGCCTGGACGCCTGTCACCTACGGGGGCAATGGGATGGCTGCGGGACTGTTTGAGGCACTGCAAGATCCTCGAGCTGGACAGCTAGGTCTGGGCCAACTTCAGGACACGGTGTGGCACAGTCTTGAAGCCGTACAAGTTAGCCCCGGGACTACTTGATCCGCTTCTCCGACCACACGATCATGGGAATTCCTGGAAGGCATCCTCCTGCAGATCGGCAAGGGCAAGGGATGGTGATGTCGCCTCACCCCATGGGTGTGAATCCAGGGAGTGTGAGAACTGCTGTCTACACAACAGTGAAACGGCTTGGGGTGCCTAATGAGGAGCCGGACCTTGAGATTACGTAAGGCTCAAGGGCTAGTGGGGGAGCTTCTTTGGGTTTCGGTGAGGAGCAGACCTGACCTGGCGTAGAGTGGTCCACTACGCCAAACAGATGCTGGGTTACCTGAAAGCTACTCTCAGCTGGACATTGCACTACGGGAAGCCTAGGTCTGTGGTGCCGGGAGAGATGCATTTGATGGACAACTTCGGGTGGACATGTTGGCCGATGCTTCCTTTGGCCCATTGTCAGGCAGGGGACACCAGGGAGTGGTTGGTACCTATGGAGGGGAGCCGCAGTGGGAGTCACGCCAACAAGCTTTCTGTACTCTGTCGAAGGCGGAGTTGCTAGGCTACGCGGAGGCAATGACGATGGGTGACTCGCTGACTGCCCTGACCAAGGTGTTTGAAGGACACGAGCATGAGATGGTTGTTGAATGCGACAATCAGGCTGGACTTCGCATTCTGGAAGCGCCGGATGGGCCCTGGAGGGCACGCCATCTTCGACTGAGGGTGGAGGACAAATACACAGCCGCCGGTGAGTGATGCTTGGGTGGGATACACGTTCTTCCAAGAGATCCAGCTGGAGACTGTCGGCTTCCAACCAAAAGAGGCGCCCCCAGAAGAGCTGCTCCGATAAGTTCGTTATATACGTCGGGGCCCTACTACCGAATCCTTGGAGAGTTCAGGCGAAGCTCTGGCGACGGGACGTGATGCCATGGAGCGAGAGGTGCGCTTGGGCTACGAGAGCAGATTGCGGGGCCTACAGGGTCCAGGAGAAGTACATGTCTCATTGTCTTCGAGCCGGTACTTGGGTGATGATCAAGGGTATGATCCATCCACCTATTGGTCCCAAGGTGCTCGAGGACATGATGGCTTGACCTTCAGTGAGGAAGAAAGAGAGGATTGGAAAGTTTCCCTGGAAGAGATGACTGGGGAAGTGGAGAGAGCAGATTGGCGTCGTTTGTTGGATGATATGGTGAGTGATGGATGGCGGGTGGTCAGGATGGGCATCTCTACGCAAGCGCCGGTGAGGCCACGAAATGAAGTCCCTTGGGAGCCACAACGCGGTTTTTCTGGAACCTCAAGGGTTCGAGAGGATTGTACTGACTCCGATGGGAGCTTTTGAGCATTTTGGTGGATGAGCGCAGACGAAAAAACCTGCGGAACCCCAAAGAAGGGAATGGTTTCAGAGAAGCCAGGGGGAGTGTGGATGGTAAATAATAGTGAAGTGTACCATGTACTTGATCTTTGGCTCAAGAAAACAGGTCCGACGCGCTGGACTGCTTTGTCATAACCACAAAAACAAAAAGCGAAACAATAAAATCTAAGTAGCATCAACACATTGTCGCCTTCTCTTGGGATCATTGGGATCGACATTGTCGGGAGCACTTCGTGTTCCCACAATCCCTCACTTCTTTAATCGTAGCCTGTGATTCTGGATCAGGATCGTTGGAACTTGGAATGACTACCTGCAAGACATTGGTTGTCCAGATGGCAAGATCAATTGCTTTGGGCGAAGATGGTACAATGATTTCTTTTTTTTCCCGGGAGCGCTGTGGAGGGTTCTTTTGTAGAAAGAGTTTTCGTTACAGATTTGCATCAATACATTTGAGACTTATATAGCTGCACTTGCAGGTATGCTACACATACCTCTGCAACTTGCAGGCGTGGTTTTCTAGAGCTGCTGCTAAGGAGGTGGCAACGCTACATTTGCTAGAACTGCTTTCGTGCTGGGATCTTGCTTCGATGAAAAGCTTCAGTGCTGGGACCTTGCTTCGGTAACTTTCGCTGGGGTCTTGCTTCAGTAAGTTGATATGCAAAATCAATATAACTTTCGCTGGGGCTTTGCTTCGGTAAACACACACGCAAAATCAAAGGTATGTTAACATAGAGTAAATTATATCTGAGTTCGCGCGTGCGTGACACATGTCGGCTCTTTGTATCTATTCTTTCCTAGCCGGGGGCCTGGCCGGACG